GCTCTTCCGGCTGAAGGAAAGAGGCTCTTAACTAAGAAAGCAGATTGCCTTTCCTGTTGCAATTAAATGACATAAATAGTAGGTGTGTGAGGGAATCCAGTTTGGTTGTGTCCTCATAGAGCCTTTCTCACATTTCCACTCTGTAGTGGAAATCTGCCTCCCAGTTCTGTTGGTAAAAAAAAAAAAAAAAAAAAAAAAAAGAAAAAAAGAAAAAATTGAAAATTTGGAAATGGATTATGCAGAATTACTTCACCATAAGTGTGGAATTCTGGTAAAGAATCCTATTTTCTGTGCTGTACATTGTGCAATTTTCATATGAAATAATCATACTAGTCAAGTTGTTTTCAGTTGAGTTAAAGACAAGAAAATCCAGATCTCTCATAAAAACAGAGAAAATACTTGCGTAGGTTTTGTATTCCCACATTTAAGATGCATCTTCAAAGACAGCAGCTTTCATAAGCTGAGGTAAGAAACCAGCCAATGTAAAGTTGAAATGGTTTTACTTTCAGCTCTTTGTGAACTTTCCCAGTGTGTGTACCAAAATCTGTGGAGTGTGAGAGACATTCTTACTGCCTTGTGCTAAAAATACAGCTTGCATTGGAATGGAGATTGAATTTTGCTCAGAACTGAGTTTTCTTTGGAAGACTTAATTGAGGTAGCAGTGTTTATTTGTAAAGTGCATGACTCTCTGTAAAGACTCTGAAGACAGTAAACAATCTGAATCTAGTTAGTTCTGTTGGAAGCAAGGTTTTGCAATGAACCTTTCACTTCTCCATATGTATATTTTTTTCTGTGTGTGTTAGTGGTGGTGTAGTTTTTTAAAGCTAGGAAGCAAAAGTTGCGTCATTGATTAGTGTTTGCTTTTAATGCCAATGTTTCCCCTGTATTATCTGTGTTTCTTGAGAACCAGAAGTCACTGTCTTGAGTGGTAAATTGATACAATACCACCTGCAAAGAGGGAGGCTGCAAAAGAAGTTAGCAGAGGCATTTGCTACTTTTAATCTTTGTTCAGCACTTGTGCAAAGCAGTGTTGCTCAAGCAGTCTGACACTATGAATCAGCTTCTCTCTTCTCATTATCAAAATGCTCAAGCAAGGGGCATGTTTATCTTGATGCCAAGCCGGCTATGTAACGCTTAGTGCCATACTGCTTCCAGGTTGAAGCGTTGTTGCACTGTTTCACATACACAACTCTTTGTATTTCCTGCATCGGATTTAGGTAGGATCAGGTGTGCAGTTGTGGCTTATTCTCCAAGAAAAGTCAGACAAGCAGTAGAGGGTTGATGAAGGACCTAGAACTGTTTTAGTGATTGTCAATTAAAACAAAGTAACTCAAGGATATGACTAGTTGGGTTTCATTTAGAAAGCTTAAGAAATGAGTGGAAGTGAAACTGGTGTGGCATAGATGGAAATGCAGTTATTGCACATAGTACCTTGGATTGGGGAGAGCTGCTGTTCCTGACAGCATTTGGAGAACACTGAGTAAAGGAAGGCAGTCTAGATAAATACCATCTGAAACGTAACATGCTTCAACTCCATGTTATGTCCAGGGAAGCAGGTAGATTTGCCAAAGGCTCCAGACGCTTAGTCAAAAGCTATCCAGTTGTGAATAATCCTGAGCAGGTCTGCAAGCAAGAATGGATGTGAACAATTTGGTCTTCTCTGACTTCATGATGCAAAACCTCTTTAAAAAGAGGAATGTAACCACTTGTTTGGAATATCACGCAACTCAAGCCAAAGCTGCTGCATGAACTCATTCCTTATTCTTTCATCTCTGGACAGTTGAAGTGATCCTGGCCCCAGATCGGTGTGTTCTATACACTGCAGTCTTTGGCTAGCCTACATCTTTTTTTTCCAAAGTTTTTATATGTCTGCAGAAGTTTTCTTATGTTAAGTATTGCAGTACTTTAAAAATTCAAGACAAAGCTTAGTGTTAATGAATATATGTTAAAATCTTTTCCTTCTCCACTCTCTGCTAAAGAGAGAAACTGGAGTAAGTACAAACAACTTCACTTGTACAGACTTTTGTTGGTGGCACCAGACTAGACGTATAATAAATGATCTTTAGAGAATGCAATTGGATCAGCATGGAGACAGCCCAAAATGTTTATGCACTGTAATGTATTTTCTTAGTCTTTGTCACCAGATTGCAGTATCATTAAGAAGAATGACTTCTTCAAACAGCCTGTAGCAAGTTTTTCTTGCAGGCACCAAAGCCCTAGAGCAACATATTGTCTGTGTGTGAGTACATACAGGGAGAGAGTTGGAAAGCTATGGTTAAGGTTCTTTAAGCAGCCAGACCTTAACCAAAGCGCACTGAGTTCATTAATGTTGCTATTCTGTGACTTGGTTTTTTGTTTTGTTTTCTTTTTTCCCCTGGACTGATATTTCTAGAATAGTTCTTATCTCTTTTTTCTTTAGCTTTGATGCTCTGATAGATACAGGTTACTTCAGTGTGTGTGTTGGTAGCTACTGGAGGATATTCAGGTTTGTTTAAGATACAGCATTCAGTTCTCTTTCAGTGTAAACATCATTGAGGCACATCCTGTTGTAGCTTAATAATGTGATGGAGGTATTTTGTTTTTAATAAAAACAGAGTTGCAGTTGCTAATCCGTCAGGGAAAGGAAATCAACAAAGTTGCTGTTGCTGATCTGTGAAGGGAAGGAAATCAGCAGAGTACTGCTTAAATTCGGGATTTCAAGTAGTTCTGTACAGCTCTGCAGTATCGATCATTGTTACCCTTGTCAGCAGCAAGATGCTTTCAGTCTAGGTCATCTCATTCAGTGCAAACCACAGAATGAGTATGTGGTAAAAGATAAACTGTTCCTGCTTGGGAAAATAAAAAAAAATCAGTGTCATCAACTGTCAGACTGTTGGAGGATCAGGAGGGGTTACTTTGAAGTGTCTCAGTCTGGTCTTGCAGCCTGAATGCCTGTTAGCAGTTGGAGTGAATTATGTGCCCTCCTGGAGTAGATATGCTGGTTTAGCTTAATCCAGAAGGAATCCCGTTTGTGTGCTCTGTCGGATACTGTTGTATGATGTGAACCAAAACATATTAAGTGAGACGATCAGGAAATGTGCGTGAAAGCCACACTCTTGATCTGAATTAAAATATAGATGCACTCAGAGACTGCATTTAAACTGCCATGTAAGTGCTTGATATGCACAGAATGTGCAATCTGAGGTCAGCAACATTATTCAGAAATCTCAAAAACTATATAGCAGAGCTGGAAAAGGTACAAAACCAAGTGTAATCAGTGTGGAAACAGCTTCCATACAGGACAGACTAAAAAACCATGGGACTTTCCAATTGTGAAAACAAATGACTGATTGTGGCCTATAGAATGGTGTATGATAAAGTGAAGG